GATAGCTTAGTTGACACCTATGAGGGATGTCTCACTGCATTTTAAGCTCAAATTACATACATATCAACTAGTGCAATATAGTGCACATATAGTAGCTTAGATCTTGAAGGCGCAAAGTCGTACAATCATGTTATTGTTTATCATTTGAGTTTTCCCTGCATTATTAGTTAATGATAAATTGATGTATTGCTAAATTAAATGTTGTCAATATATATATGTGAGAACTAACTTTTGCAGGTGGTATGTTAGAAATTCCAAATACCACTTACGTATTTGATCTAGTTTGCTTAGTCTAGAATAGAGAGTTGTCTCCCTAGGTACTTATTGAGATTCACATCTCACTCATTTCATGGGATTTATTTTAGGTCAAAATAAAGGCAATGAGTTCAGTAGCGCATGAATATATCTTTCGTGGATGATACAGTTCTTGATTCTCTATCTTTGGGTAGCAGGATTAAATTAGTGTAGTTTTGTTATTTGGTTGTAATTGAAGAATCTTGCAGAGCTATGTATGCGTTTTAGGTGACATAAAAAATGATGTACTTGAATTTCAAAGAAGTTGGACAACTTTGTTTTTCCTTGTAATTAGCAACCTTGAGCCTTGTATTCATATTTAAATGTATTTTGTTTCTTCTTACTGTTGTGTATCATGTCGTCATTGAATTGGGGTGTTACACCATAGCTTCAACTAAAAGTCAAAAGTTTTATGAAAAGCTTGTGAACTACTTTTAAAACTCAACTCATTACCTTTGGAGTCCGAAGTCACGTAATAATAATGGGAATATTTGCACAACATAAGAAGATATTGAGATTGGCAAGAAGTTTCAAGACATGGAAAGTTGGAAAGCAATAAAGACGTTTCTTTTTTAATACTGTCCATCGGTTCATTGATTATTTGACTAATCCGATTCGAGTCGGGTAGCAGCAATAAAGACATTTTTAGATAGGGAACAATACTAGTGTTGCTATAAAACTTCAATATTTAAGAAAATTTGCTAGAGTTCATTGATCCGAGAGGATCTTGAATGTCTTACCTAAGGTCATAATCAAAATGGAATCTGTACACTTGTCGTAGTCTATGGAAGAGACGCTGCAAAAGAATGGTAGATCATTGTGCACAAAGATGAAGGCTTGAGACCGAAGGCATGGCCTGTGTGCACAATGACAACTATGAAAGTATGATTCAGAAGATGTAAACCTGATAGCAGTGTTATTAAAATCGGCTCGACCCAGCCGATCGGACCGGTTGAACCTGGAACTGGACCATTGGTACTTGTTTTTCGGTTGAACCAATTTTTAAAAATTATATCAAAATATTCCATCACAATTGCACTCTTGATATTCAAACTTGGCACCTAAGAGAAGGGAAATGACATGCTAACCACTAAGCCAAATTACTTAATTTGGTTATCACAATACTCCTATTTATATATATATATATATATATATATATATATATATATATATATATATATTTTTATATTTACATAAATTTAATTTATGCGGTCCAACTAATGACCAAATGATTAAATCAGTGACTCATTGACCCGATATCCGATCAAATTGATGATCAATTCGGGTTTAATAACATAACCTGAGAGACTTGTCCCGTTATTTATAAATAGGATTACATGTAAATATGAAAGTCTGAGTAAGAGTCAAATTGCATAGGATTAAGCTGATAAGTCTTATCTCCTATTATTTAAGTTATTCCTTCAATATGTTTTTATATTGTTATCGATAGATAATATGGAATGCATGAATTGAATCGAGACCAAAAATCATAATAAAAGAGAAATTTAAGATGTTTGATTTTTTTTATGCAGAACAATTTTTTAATTTTAAAAAAAATAATTAAAAAATTCGTTTGGTATGAGTTTTCTATGTTTTCTTTTCTAAAAACAACGTTTGTTCTATAGTTTTTAAAACAAAAAATAGAGAACAACTCTTACCTGTTTTTGTTCTTTTTTCCTACTTTTACTCTTAAAAATGACAAAAACATGGAGAACAACATGGGAAAAGTGTTTGTCATTTTAAATGACATAACACTAGGGGTGTTCATCAACCGATTCAAACCGCGATGACCGAACCGAAAAACTGATAACCGAATAAACCGAAAACGGAAAAACCAAAAACCGATTAAAAATTGTAAATTTTAATTGGATTGGATCGGTTTTTGGATGGGTTGATGAAAACCGATCCAATATATTAATTTCCCTCTAACTACTTAGGTATTTCCCTAATCATAGCCTAAAAATTTCTAAATCCAAGACCCATTAACCTATCAACTAAACCCAAGAAAAAATCTATTTATATCTGATCAACAAAATTTTATCTTTGTAGAGCTTCATATCTCATTGCCAAAATTAAAAAAATTATATTATAGTTTACTAATGCTTTTGTATTTCAAAAAAAAATATTTACAAGATGTTATTTTCACAATAATCATGAAATAAATTTTAGGATTTTCAAAAAACCGAAAACTGATCCAATCCAAACCGAAAAAATTGGATTGGATCGGATCGGATTTGAAAAAAAATCAAAACCGAATGGATGATTATATGATGAAACCGAAAGGATTGGATCGGATGATTTTTACTTCCAAAATCGATCCAATCCAGACCGCAAACACCCCTACATAACACTCTGTCTTTTTAAGAGAGAGACAGACACATAAAAAATTTTATTTAAATTTTAAATTAAAAAAACCACTCACTTTCTCTCTCTCATGATTTCCATTTTTCTGTGTCTATCTCTCTCCTAAAATGACATAACTTATGTCCTTTAAAATGACAAATACCAAACACGAACAACATTTCATTAATGGCATTCTGGTAATTATAATCAAACAGATTTGTTTTCTTCCTTTTCTATAAAACAACTTTCATAAGTTGTTTTATAAAATAGTTTTAAAAACAAAAACAAAAACACTTTTAAACACACCCTCGACTCTGTTTGATTTTTGTTATGCAAAACAATTTTTTAATTAAAAATATTGTTTGGTATGAGTTTTTTGTATTTGCTATTCTTAAAACAACATCTGTTCTTCAGTTTTTTAAAACAAAAAATACAGAACAACACTTATCTGTTTTTGTTCTTTTTTCCTACTTTTACTCTAAAAAATGACAAACATTTTTTTCTAACAACATTTCATTAATGGCATTCTGGTAATTATAATAAAAAATATTTGTTTTATTCTTTTTGCTACAAAACAGCTTTTCTAAATTGTTTTATAAAATAATTTTAAAAACAAAAACACATTCAATCACACTCTCAAAAAAAGATTCCATCGCGCCCATGATTATACTTGTTTTCAACTTCTTCCAACTCCAAAGCTTGCCTTTATTTTCCCCTTTTCTTAGGTTCGTATTTAAGATTTTTTATTTTTTTTCTGGCCTGAAGGTAGCATGCTGACTTGGACTTGGGTTTAATTTTAAATTGGATAAATATCTGACAAGTTGAGTTGAGTTAGGTTTTCTAACTTATGGAGAATTTAATTTTCAAACTTCCCTAAGCACAATTGACTTCTAAACATTGTTTGTGTTTTAAACCATTTTCTTATATTTTTATAATTTATTTAAATTTAAATAAAATTGATAAAGACTAGCTACCGAATCTTATTTTTAGTTTCACTGTCGACCCATCAATACTCTGGTTACCATATCTATATTCTGTCTATTCTCTTAGCAAAATAAGTTATATATTATATTTTGTATAAGGATAGAATAAGTTTTATTCTTATATTTAAATTCAGGTTATCTTATTATAGTGGATTTATTTTTCAATTGGATAGTATCCGAATTGGGATCGTGAATTTTTTTCTCCTTTTAATTTTTTTCCCATGTAATTATTATTGAGAAATTAACATTAATTTAAATTTAAAAAAAAAATACATAGCTTAATTTATCCCCCTTTTGAGTTCATATGAGATCAATACCATTTTTTTCATTTTAATTTGGTTCGATCATCAATGAAAATATCTTGTATCATACAAAAAGAAAACAATATATTTCTTTTGATATTAATTAAGATTATGGAGAGGCTTAATTGCATGAACAAGGTGATAATCTCCACTTACCAGTTGGCTCATCCACCATCATTCATCAACAAGGTAATTAGATTATCTATAATTAAGCATTAACTAATCTTGCACATTCTCTTCTGATTAACAGAGTTAATAATAATCAAACGAAGAAATAGTGATTTACGTTTCACAATTCAATAACCAACGCGAAATGACCCAAATGGCCTCGTATCAGTGCGTGCCCAACCGCAATATCGAGAAACCCCTCAATCTCATGAGACAGTTATTTATTTGCGTCTAAAATTAAAGAGAAGCGTCCGTACCAAGAAATCCTCCTTAATCTTCTTTCTCTCTCCTCGGATTTTCTATTTTCTATTATTAAAAAAATAGTAAAGAAACACATTACTCTCTTCACGTTGTTAAATATATAACTGCACTACTATTTATATGTTCTGAAGCTTTTTTGTTGCCTCTTATCTAAGGCTTCTTCCTCATTTTGTTTCAGAGAGAGAGAGAGAGAGAATCAGAGGCCATTCTTCCAGAGGATTGAACCACATTACCTTCTAAAGTATAAAAATCTCAACTTGTTAATATTCCTCAGGAGTTGGGTTAGGGGGCACCCCAATTCCTTGACCAAAGGTTTGAACTTAGGGTGCCTCTGAATCTAGTTTTAAGTTTATTTGATCCTTGTGAAACAGGTGCTGCTTAATAACCCTTTCTCTTGTTTCTTTTGGTGAAAATGGTCATTATATAACTGAAAATGTGCCCAACAATTTTTTTTTTTTTTTTTTAACTTCTCTATGATTCAAAAATTTTCATAATTTTCATTTGGGTTCATTTCTCATCGAACCAACTAGTTTGGAATAAATGTGGTGTTGATATTGATGTTGTTGTATATTATTCAGAATTTGATTGGTTGATTGCTTTGGTTTTCAGAGTTTCCACGGTTAGTGTTGGTGCGCAATAGGGGTTGAAAATGTTGGGGGATTTCATTAATCGGTGTCTCATGTAAGTGCCTTTCTTTCATGTTTTTTTTTTTTAATGAATGGTTCTTTTCCTACTTGTTTTTTAGTCATGTTTTGTTGTTGTCTTACATTGTTCATTAATTTTTTTATTGCAGACTCCTCCTAGGGTATGCATACCCTGGATTCGAATGCTATAAAACTGTGGAGAAAAATAGGGTTCAGATTGAGGAACTTCGCTTCTGGTGTAAATACTGGTACAAGAAAAACACCATCTCCTTTTTGCAATAAAGTTCTTCTGAAATGGGACTATTTTTCTATCAATTTTTATAATATTTGCGTCACTCATGTTATTTAATATGTTTTAAGATGTTGGATATTGACAATATTAGTTATGATGTAGAAGAAATTTTTAGATGATTGCAATTTACTAGAACTAGAATTATATGGAGCCCAAGAGTTAAAAAAATAATAAATGAGTCCTTGAATTTTTGCCAAGAAAAGAATCTTCTTTTGAAATCTCTAAACCGAGACCAAAACAAAAAAAGGTTGAATGAATAGGAAAGATTAGGAATTTATCTTTCTGCAGTTGATTTTGGTTGTTTGTCTTATTAAAAAAAAAAACATGTTGAATTCTAATATAGCATTGCTCAATTTAAGTTTTAGTACCTCTGAATCACGTCCTTGTGCATCATCTATTTGCAGGATCATTGTGGCAATTTTCACTGTGTTGGAAAAGTTTGCAGATATATTTATTTCATGGTAAGTGTCGTATAGGTTTTAACCTTTTTCTATATTGTTGCCGTTTGATTTAGATTTGAGCAGTAAATTCACTTGGAACTTTTATGAAGGCTGCCACTGTATGGAGAGATGAAGTTGGTGCTCTTTGTTTACATGTGGTATCCCAAAACCAAGGTACCTTTTTTCTTACATTTATCGATTTATTTTCATGTTATTTGCCCACCAACACCTTTTTTGTTTGAGGGGGAAAAAGTATAAAATATGTCATGGAATGTATTGTTTTATTATAATAAAGGGAAATATAAGTCAGTTTATCAAAAAAAAATAAAAAAAAAATATAAGTCTTATGCAAAGTCTCCACTTTCCGGCTAACTCAAAATGGTGTGGACCCATTTTATTTTATTTTGTTTTGGTTTTTTTTCGGTACAGTGGGATCAGTGTGTTTGTGTGTCAGATGAGAACAATGTTCTCCTCTTATATAAGAAAAGGGTTATGTTTATCTCATTTTACATAAGATAAATCACTTTTCTACACACATAAAAAGAGTTTGGGTCCCACCACTTTTTTTCTCTCTCCTTTTACCTGTGGATCCCACTTATACTTTTATTTCTATAACATGAGATAATTTTTTTCCTACAACATAAGAAAAATATATCCCATAAGAAAATATGCTCCCTTTAATAAATGTTGTAAAAATAATGTAATGATATTGTATAACGCAGGGGACGGGGTATGTTTATGAGACAGTGCTGAGGCCATTCCTATCAAGCCACGAAAATGAGATTGATAGGACATTACTAGAGTGGAAGGCAAGGGCTTGGGATTATGTCATATTTTATTGGCAATACTGCGCACACTTTGGCCAAAACGCATTTGCACAGGGTCTTCAGCACTTGGCTTCTCAGTCTACGAGAATTTCTCCCAACTCAACTACTCAGGTAAACCCTCCCTTTAAATAGGAACAACTGAACAACCTTGCTTGTAAACCTCCCCTTCTTTTTTTACTAGATCATGGTAGTTAACACACAAAGTTGATAGATAAAATATTACAAAAAAAAAAAAAAAAAGTTGATAGATAAAATTAAAATAGGGTAACATTTATTGATGTTTCAGAAAATTACACGTATCCGTACTTTAGCTCACAAATTACACGTGTCTTTCCATCTATACTTTAGTTATTAATAAAGGAAAATATATTTTTACTTTTGTCATGAAAATTTATTTTTTCCTGTCATAAAAAAAAATTCTGTCATAGTTATAAAAAAAATTGTGAGATCGAGTATGTGAGTATAGGAGAGAAAAAAATTCTACAACAAAATTAGAAATGTTATTCCCAATAATAAATCATACTAAATCATGATAAAGGATCATCTCATCCAAATTAAGGTTTTTTAACCAATCATGATAAAAACTAATTGTTATCATTTTCTCACTTCTTTTGCATTCTTTATCACCGTTAATTTTTATTTAGATGGCTAAAATAGTTTCATATAATCTTATGTCACGCTAGAAAATATATTCCCCCAAACTATAACTCCTTCATTTTTTTTATATACATATTGAGAATGGATCCTCTTACATAGATCATAGAAGATGATCTCAGTCTCTAATTACAAATCAACTTTTATCTATTTTTTTCTTTCTTTTTTTAATCTTGATGCACTCTTTTAACATAATAATTTATTTATAAGGTTGAGATCTTTTTTTGATACAATGTTAGGAATTGAACACATAATATAAATTATCCAAACTCTTTACCACTGGATCAATCAAGGTTGAGATCCTTAGAGATAACTTCACACGAGAGCATTTTATTCTCATATGTATTTATATATTTAGGCATAGTACAAGGGTAAGAACTGAGAAAAGTACCACATTGCAGAAAAACGACATTCAAGACCAAAGTGCCCCCCCACAAATGGCTTCAAAACAATCATCGTTTCAGATGAAGCAAAATAGTTCCCTAAGCAGGAGCAAGAAGTGGCCGCCAAGTTCCCCATCAACACCAAATCACACAATCCACCGTAACATCTCTGAGACACCAACTTCGTTTGAAGAGGAGGATGAGGCATATGAACCTGAACCTGTTACAATGGATGAAGGTCAAGATGATGAGCGCGTGAGCGTGAAAGACAAGATCAACCGTGCTCGTGCTAGGCTTAGACGGTTAGATACACAAAACCCTCGAAGCCCACGAACCCCACAACGTCGACACCAAGAATAACAACAATTGTATATATATATAGTCCTCACCTTAATCCCTGTAGAGAAAGAAAAAAAATGGGGAAAACGAAATTAGACTCTGCTTTCTCTTTCTTTCTTATCCCAAAAATTGTTATTCATTGATATACAATTTTATTCTTGTAACATATACTTTAATGCAGATTTGCAATACTCGGTTCAAGTTGAATGTTTTTATTGGTTCGTACTTGGAGACCAAAATAATAAAATAAAATGAGAAATATATGTTATTCCTTGGTCAAGTAAAAAAAAACTGTTGAAAATAAATAAGAAAATAGAGAATCAATCAATTTCAAAGACAGGGACAGATTGATGTAGTTATAATTTGCGGGGATTTTTCGCATATTGATCTTATACATTAGTAATATTAATTTATTAATATTACTAGTTTTGATTTAATATCGCTATCAAGTATCAATAGTATAATATTTAAATAGTAGTAAAAAAAAAAATTAAAGGCTCTATAATAGTATAATAATATGTTACTTTTTTTTACTGGTAAATTAATAACACATTACTTTAAAAAAAACATTAATTAAATTGCGGTATTAAAATTTTACATAATATTGTTATGTAAGAATTTTATGCTTATCTATTCAAAAAAATTAATAAAATTTTGTCTATTTAATGTCTATAAATATAAATAAATACAAAAAATTTACATTATATTTTAAATTTTAGTATGTATAAAATATAATGGATAGAAGGGGAGAAAGTAATTATTTCATTGTATGCATTATGCACAACATATATCATGACGAGAGAACATTTTTAAGATACAGTTCTGGACTTTCGCATATTAGTTAGAAAATATAATTTGGATTTTGGAAAATGATACAAGTCCAAAGCCCAAAGACGAGCTGAGATCTCTAAGTCCAGTTAAGAGTGGCCCAAGACGTTTGAAAGAATTCGCATGAAACGGTGCATGTAGGATATCTCTTATGGAAAATATTACTCTTGAGAGAATTTTTCTCTCACGCAAACACAACTTAGAGGAGAGAGGAGAGAGAATAGAGAAAAAATAGAGATTGAATCCCACCTTAATTTGTGAGTGCATGAGAGAAAAATTATGAAAATGTCACATGAGAATAATATTCCCCGTCTCTTATAGTAGTACATTGTATAGGTTAGCTGAAGTTAGTTAATTTGTTAGAGTTGTACCACTAGTTGCGGTTGTAAATTCCCACGTGCATGATGCCTGAGAGTGAGCTCCAATGCGTGTTTCACTTGTCCTAAGAGGATATTGCCTTATCCATAATTTGTTCTCCTTCATAACGTAACAACGATGGCTTGTATAGACTCAATATTCATTTGCTTTGCCTTGAAATTACTGTTCTGTTCCTTAAGAACAATAGTTGGGAGGATTCTAAGTGTGAGTGGATGAAGTTTCACATTGCTTAAGAACAATAGTGAAGCCAGCATAGCAAACCCATCTAAGGCCAAAAAAATTTAGCAAAAGCTACAGTTATTTAGTCATGTCTAAAACGTAGCTAATATTTGAAAATCAACCTGCAAATTAGCTACTGTGACTTAGCCACGTTTAAAAATGACTAATTTTTAAAAATTAACTTGGGCCAAGGTCTTACTGTGTCATAATGTGGCTCCGCCATTGGTTAAGAATAGAGTAAGTGAGCATAATATAAGTAGAAAGACTTGTGCACATAATATTTTAAGGTTTTGGATTTGATTGCGGTATTTAATCCCACTTAACGTCATTGCTCACTTAGCCATGGATTGCGGTCTCTCCCTGCGATAAACTCCTCCCGTCAGCCCAACAAAGATCATTAACATTTGAGATAAAGAATATCAAACTAGAAGCTATATAACAGAAGGTGCTTGAATCAGCAACTTGCTTTCATTCAATGCTTGGGGTCAAATATATACACCCAAAAGATTACAACAGAAACAGCTACAACTAAGGAACAGTGAAGCTAATTACTTGAAAACAGGAAAGCAAATAAAACTAATCCTATATGATATTAACAATACAATCTGATAATAATCTAAACTAAATATATTAGTTGTAACAGCAAATAACAAACTCCTAATACTCCCCCTCAAGTTGGGGCATGAAGGGATGCAATGCCCAACTTGGCAACTAAGAAATCAAACTGTTTTGAGCCTAGTGCTTTTGTCATAATGTAAGCTGGTTGAGACTGTGTCCGAATGTGCTGAGTGGATATTGATTTGTCGAGGATGTGTTCGCGAACAAAATGGCAATCCAATTCGATGTGCTTTGTGCGCTCATGGAAGACTGGATTGGTAGCAATGTGAATGGCTGATTGACTGTCACAGAAAAGCGTCATTGGTTCTGTATGAGTAAGATCAAGGGAACTCAGGAAGGATTTGATCCAAATGAGCTCAGAAGCAGCTGCTGCCATTGCGCGATACTCGGCTTCAGCGGAGGAACGAGAAATGGTGTGTTGTTTCTTGGTTTTCCATGAGATGGGAGAGTGGCCGAGTGTGATGTAATACCCTGTGACAGACTTGCGGGTAAGTGGACAACTAGCCCAATCGGAGTCACAGTAAGCTCGAACAAGGAGATCAGAATCAGAGCGTAGAAGAAGACCTTGGCCAGGATTTTTCTTGATATAGCGTAATACTCGAATCGTAGCATCAAAATGCAGCTGCATGGGGTTGTGCGAGAACTGAGAGAGAGAGTGCACGGCATAGCTCAATTCTGGACGTGTTATAGTGAGGTACACTAAACGACCAATGATGCGACGGTAGCGTTTGGGATCGTTATAAGGAAGACCATCTGCAAGAGCAAGTTTATGATTTGGATCCATTGGATATGCTGCTGGTTTACAACCCTGAAGACCACATTCTTGTAGGATATCCAATGCAAATTTTTGTTGGCTAAGAAATAAGCCAAATTGGCTTGGAGCAAATTCAATACCAAGGAAGTATTTGAGGTGGCCTAAGTCTTTGATCTTGAACCAGGTGCGCAGATGGGCTTTGACTCGATCACATAGAGCTAAATCATCTCCTGCCAATAGGATATCATCAACATAAACTAGGATTGTGACCGAATGTGATCCATGAGTGTAAGTAAACAAAGTGTAATCTGCATGAGAATGATTGAATCCGGAGAGGTTATTTTTGGTGGAGAAACTATGCGGTTTTGGGATTTGCGTGCTCCCTGGTTAGAACCTCTAAGGGGTCCGACGAAAGTGAGGAGAGATGTGCGGAGTTTGGCAAACCAGTTCCTTGGAGACTGCTTAAGACCGTAAAGAGAGCGTAGAAGCTTGCATGCATGACCTGGTTTACCATTGGAGAAGCCAGGAGGGAAACGCATGAAGACTTCTGTAACAGCCCGTTGTACACCGGTATTGTTAACATTAATATGATATTAAGCGCAGTTACAATCACAGCAATTCATTTATAAAAATGCGAATAAACTTTTTACGATTATTACGCGAGCATTTAAAATAATAAAAGCGTAATAATTAAAAGTTGTGACCGTAACTGTAAACTCTTTCGGAATACTTATTTAAACTACTTCTATGTCTTATTTTACTTATCATAAGTTACTAAGGGGTTCCCATAAACCCACTTAGCCAATTACTAACTTTTACGTTTTTACTTACCCGAACATGGTTCACTAATTAAATTACTGCGAATGCACCACAAAAATTCAGACCTTCCACTTAGGTTATATTTTTTTCTTACTTAATTACCTTTCTAAAAAGCTATCACACGCTATGATCGGAGCACGTTTGCTCCGGATATCGCCGTTTGAAGTTGGATAAGCAAAACAGCCAACCAACCCCAAAACAGCTCAAAACCTCTCTCACTCCTCGAATTAATGCAGAAAATTCACTCATCCAATTGCTCTCAAATTTTTATTCTATAAACTAGACACCTCAATCTTCGATTTGATATATCATACGCTTAATTTGACCAAGAAATGAAGCAGGAATAAAATTCCCAAAACTGGACCAAAACAGCCCCCAAGTGCAGGGCAAAACAGGGCAGTTGTGTTCACTGACTTCCACAGGGCTGCGCACAACCCATAAAATTCTAATATTTTTACACAATGTAGGGGACATCTCAAGCTTCAAAAAGGCGTATGGCACACACAAGGACCTAATAATCCAATGGGTGGCACACCAATTCTACAGAAAATTCGCCAGAGTTTCCTTTGTTTTTCCTTAAATCCCCAATTTACATAAGCTTGCTAATACCACAAATATACCTAATAATCCAATGGGTGGCACACACAAGGACCAGCAATGCCTTGGGGCTCTTACAACCCACAATATACAACAATTCCATATCATATACAGTAGTATACATACATGATCCATAACTCTATATATATCATATCAAAAAGGTGACTCTGTGCCATAACTACAACATCCTACATCAACCTACATAAACATAATACATCACAGTGTCACAATATATACAACAGACTCCCAAAATAAGCAGGAAACATCTATGCTCAGATCTACTCATCAACCACGGGCCTCTTGCCCCGAGAACGATCGTCAACTGCTGCGATACCTGAAATATATCCACATAACGCGGGGTGAGAATGAATCTCAATAAACTTGGGGCTTATGGAGCAGTCTCCACCCAAGAGTCCACTTCCTGCAAGAAAATATCAAGTACCAAGACATAGATAACACCATATAATCCATATTAGAATTTCTGTATCATATATCTTTTCTAATAATTCTCATTTATTCTTATAATGTACTTTCTTATTAATCTTAAGTATGTTCATGTCTTATGTATGAATAAGGCTTCCATCTTATATTTGTAATGTCGTATCATATTCAATAGCATACTCATAATGATTAGAGAACTAAAGTATTATCGGCTATACCTTATGTATACCGTGATCATATCCATAATTGTTTCCTCTGTTCAGAAACCATAACTTACACTTCCAAGGCTTTATTTCATTGAAGATCATATCATATTAACTTATCATAACATAAATAATATCATATGCATGCACTATATGAATGCAACTACGCAAAGTATCAATATTAACAACAATTATATCCATACGGAAACCATAATCGCCACTGATCATGGCGGAACAAAAAGGCTGAGAAAACTCCTAACCGAAAGCTTACCTGTCGTCTCTTTCCTGCTGCTAACTTGCTATTTAATAACACGTACACTTGGTTGTCTACAAGTTGTTCGTCCACCTACTTCATCTGATTACACTCTGTTACCGTACATATAAAAGTACCATTAATTTCCAATGAAACATACATTACTTGAAATCCGAATAATTATATTCATATGTTAATTTCATAACCAACTTGACAACTTCATTTCCCTTGACAGTTCATGCCATCCCATAAGTTTACAACTTAATTTATACTTCATGACTTAGAGTCTCAATTAGTTAATTAATTTACTAATTTATAGTTAACATTTCATACACTTTTAACAAAGCTTCACGTATCTTAAACCATTTGAATCATACTTACTTATTCTAGGAAAATGCTATAAATCAATCACTTGAATTGAAAACACATAATCTATGCCCATTATTCCTTTATGGCCGAACTCTATATATAAACACATATACAATTCTTTTGGTTGTCATGTTTAACTAATTAGCTTAATTCTTGTGAAAGCATTCATACACTATTATTCCATTAACTTGACATAAAACTAACATCAATTTCCTTAGCCATTTAATACATATTGGTCGAATAGTTACATATACATATACTCATGGATTTACCATTTCATCTTAGTTAATTCCTTGTTTGATCACTAAGTAGTCTTGTATAAACTATTACATAACTTTTTCATCAAAACTCTAACATAAACATAGTCTACATCCTAGACTTAATTAAGATTTCACACTTTATGTTTGGTTCAAATACTAGCCAATCATCATTAAATCTCCTAAGGATCATTGTTTTACATAACCAATGAATTAAACACTTAATTTGCACAATTAATTCTAAAGGGCCGAAATACACACATTTTTTACAGCATCAACATCCTGTGCCATTTTAATCACGAAAAATTCATCTTAACTCCGATTCCCCTGAATTTTGGATGTTATAGTAGACACTTAAGGCTTTAATTTGGCGCAAACCACAATCCATTTGAAGTCTTGTAGCTTCAGATATGAATTTTTAAACATAACAGCCCCTATGTTGATCCTAAAAGGTCCATAAAGTTCTTTTGAAATTCCTATACTTCATTCTTTTTACAAACCAACTCTAAATCATATTACACTTACATTTCCACATACAACTTGATTAAACACATCCTTTAACTATTTTATCACATGATGACCGATTTGCCTAGCTCAAGGTTTAATGAATTCTCTTTCAATTTTTCTATCACTTGAACCTTTAATTTGTCATCTCAATTTCATGTATTTCACTTAGGAAATATTACAAACACTTGGTGTGCACATCTTTACAACCAAAATCTGAACCATATAGAGTTCATTAAACTCATCCCTTATGTGATTTCAATTTCTTTTTGTAGTATAGAAAACCAATCCATCACAACAACTCATTAACCCACTTAAACATCAATAAAACCACTTAAATTCATCATTAAACCAACATCAAAATTATCATCATAAACAGCCCTATATCATGAATATCATCATTATTTCTAAGAATTTAATCAAGGGAGTGAAGGTTTAATACCTTAGATAGCCTAACCAATAACTATTGATGACTTCCCTAAGCTTAGAACTATGGAATCAATCCATTTTCTCCTTCCTTTCATGTGCAGGCGCTGCTGTCCAGAGGAGAAAAGAAGAGATTTAAAGCTTCCCAAAGTTAGAAAAATGGTGGGTTAGAATGATGGGGTGCTAAGCTACCTTTTCTATGTTGGAGTCTGGATGAAATGGTGACCAAATCATCAAGTTCTCTCTTGCCCTTTCTCCATTGAAGCTCACGAACTAAGGAAGAAGAAAGAAAGAGGAGTGCAGCGTGAAAAAAAAAAAGAAAGGAAGAGAAGGGACCGCCTAATTGAAGCCAAGTAGTCTTAGTTTATTTATTTATTTATTTTTTTGACAACATGTCACTTTCTCATTGGTTTAAACAACCAAACTACTTGCTTGTTGCTTTCTTCTTAAACTCTACGGCCCACATAAGTGATAAGAAAGGAAGGAAGGCATAAAAACTTCATGAAGCAGCGTACAACAATTTGGTGAATGACTTTTAATGAAACTTGGTGATAAAGTACTCAATTCCACCAAATATAGATTTGTCAACATTAAATACTATTGGTTCTTTAATTCTTCATTTGACTAATCAAGTATCATCTTAAATATTTATTGGTTCAATTCTATCAAATTTCCTCATCTTTCTTACTAAAGTTACGTACATGGCAATTTAAAGAAGACATAACATTGCAACTTAAATAATTAAGACTAAGAATTTTGTTTGACTTTTTACTAATCAAAACTCATCTTATTGCTTAATAATTAATCCATCTTTTCCTTAATTTTAACAATTAATCCAAGTATCATTTAAATCATTTAAAGATACTTTGAACTTACTAATTTCTCTAAACTAATTAATTATTCAACCTAAATTATATTTAGGCCTAATTACCAAGGTAAACCCAAACTTACTCC